AGGCATCTCACAGGATTACTAGACTATGCTTATTCATTTTGACGTATTTGACATCACTGACATTGATACCACCATGGTACCCTTAAAGTTGACTGTGATCTTGCACTAATTTTACACAGGTATAAGTCAACTGATGCTAGTAGACTTGCTCAAAATTTATGCTGCTGCAAGATCATGACAGTTCTTCACAACTATTAGATGCTTTGCAAAAAGGTTCTCTCGCCCACATCACTTTGTACCTCATCACAATTATTCTGATGAAGAAAGACTTTGATCTATTTCTGGGCATCAAAATACTATTTAAGACATATAATTAATACCTATGAAACTGGGTTACCTGAGAAGTAACTTCTGACTACGTTAATAAAATAGTCCACTTCTACTGCTTTCAGTACCTAGAGTATTGAAGGGAATCCACAACACTAGTAGATTGTGAATATAAGATAATTTTTAATCACAGGCCTGAGCTGCCTAAAATACATATTTTAATGTCGTACTGTAATATGTTTTGAGTCATGAAATTTAACTATTTAAAATATTTTCAGGATTGTCCTATATTGCCTAGACTCCTTCTTGTTACATACATAGTGCAATTCATGACCAACAGCACTCAAGAAGTGTTTACTACTCTTCTACTATAAATTATTTGGTCTTTCTGGCAAAATTTCATGCACTGCAAAACAACATGCACTTCATACAAACTAGGCTGTTTTAAAAAAAACAAGGCTGGATTGCTATTTCTGACTTTAACACAAACAAGTCCATGTGATAAAACAGTCCAAGTGATGCTTATAATTTTTATTTTTTGTTATTATGTACCAGAAGTACCAAATACTGTACTTTAGGATGCACCCACTGGAGAACCATCCATGCACAAAGCAAGTGTTGAAAAATACAAGACAAGGATGCAATTTTCAGCACACACAACACAGAAGTTGTCACACAACCCTAAATTTAGGAGGAATGAGAAGTAAAATTGAACATTTAGCCATCAGATTAATAAAAAACGTAGTAGTGATAAGTTCTGCTAAGGACTCATAGCTGTCCTTCTCACTGCCTGCCAAGATTCCCTCCCCAAAGCAGAAAGGACTGCATCTGCTACTTGGTTAACATATGGATTGTAAAAATCCTCTATGCTATGCTTCTCCCACAAAGATCACCTGATGTTTGAACTGGCAAAGGCAAAGCAGAACTGCAATATGGCAATATATGATCCAAGCACTTATTTTTAATATATTTTTTAAGACCGATTGGATACTTTTTTGGGTTTTAAAAATGGAGAACGTGGAGCAGAGAAGCATGAAGTGAATGACAGAAGGTACAGTCAAGCTGTAAAACTTTTACCAAAATAAAGACGACTAGATGAAACAAGAAAGTAGCACAAAGGCAAACAGAAAGAAAAGGCTTAGGTTTGAGTCCATTGGAAATCAGGAGTGAATTCTACACACCTTCCTCCTGATAACCCAGGGGTGGGCAAAGTTGGGCCCATGGGCCAGATTCAGCCCGCAACAGATTCCATTTCCCAGCACCTTCTGCCTGCATCGCGGCAGCAGTGCAGGGCTGGGTTTTCCATGGGGATCAGCCCAAGCAACACTGGCAGGGCGAGAAGCTGCTCCAGGGCTGGGATTCTGCAGCAGTAACAGCATGATCTGGAGCCAGGGCAGAGCCATGGTACCCCCGGCCTGGGGCATGCGTGCAATGGATCTTGGATCTGGCCCAGCTCTGGACCACACTGTCACCATTGCAAAATCCCAGCCCCAGCTCCCCACCAAGCCACACACACACTCTGCCAGCACTGCTTGGGCCGGACTCCATGGAAACCTTGGCCCCGCACTGTCAGGGCCCCAACCATCCTGGGGTCTCCGTGGAAACCGGATGCAGAGCCGCAGGCAGGGGCTGCTGGGAAATGGAGTTGGGCTGCTGGCCGGATGTGCTATTTTGCCCACCCCTGTGATAACCTGTGCAGAGTACAGACCCAATTTTCCCCTTCTCTTGCTTCCTTCACACTCTTTAACCCACCAAACCCTTCACAGAGCTGAAGCAGATGACTCAGAGGGATTCTTCCATGTTTTCAACACAGATCCTCCTGAATAAGCAATCACCATCTCTGTCATGCTGCTGAAAGTAACCGATGCCGTCAACTAAACCACTTGCAATACCAGCCTGAGTGAACTCACTGCAACTGTTGGTAAACACGTTAACTCCACACAAACATGCATAAAAAAACCCAAGGAAACCATTTTGCTTCTTAAAGGGAAAAGGTATGCATGTGCTTCTTTATGAAACACATCCAAACAACAGTGATTTTCCATTCCCAAAATGCTTGCTTCTGATTATGGCTTCACATGCTTGCAATTTGACTTCAATACTGTGTCAAACAGTTTACAAAATGAAAATCCCTATGGAACAGATGTCTGTCCACGAGTTTCAAAGTGTTTTTCTCCATTCTCCCTCAGCACTGAAACTGGATTGAACCATCATTTCAGGCTTCCTAACTCCCTTCCCAGATGGATCCTGGATTTGTCCCAACCCTCGAATGTGTTAACTAATACAGCGTGAAGTTAGTTTTCCATATATGCGTACAAAGCACATGCTTCAAAAAAGTACTTTCCACTCAAAATATATTCCCTTCTTGTGACAGACGCTTTTGCAACGTCACCAGTACAAATCTCAGCTTTACAAAACTCCTTTCTTACACAGTATTATAGAAGTGTGATACTGATAATAGAGAGCATAGGCCAGTGTTTCAATAGCATGCTTAGTAGAAACTCCCTGCTCACACTTCCACTGTTTTGGATCCTGACCACTGATCAGGAAATCAAGGTTACCTTTGTGTTCCTCTTTGAATGATCTTCAGTCCATTACTTGCCAGACATCATCCCCTCTAGACATCGCCTACCCTTCCCAGTGTAGTGTCAGCAAGTAACAGTCTGTAGCTACGAGTAGGATTTAAGCTCATGACCTTTTGCCTTCAGTGCAAAGTGGTAGCAAATGAGTCACTCGGGGATGAATGTATATTTGTTTGTACCCCCTAGTCTCATCCCGGTATGATACATCCGCAAAAGGCAGATTTTCACTTTCAACACAAAGGCATTAAAGAAATACTGCGGTGGAATATAGAAGTTATCTTAGTGCCACATAAAAAGCATAAAAATTCCTGGTCTTTTCAGTCACTTTATTTAAAAGCAAAACCAGTTACATCAACCTGAATTTTAAGAAGCGATCTGGAATTTGCATCAACTCCAAAAGTCTGATTTATGCTTTTTAGTGCCAAAGGAAGTTATGGCACTCCTGCTTGATATCACCTAACAGATATCTTCCTGGAGAGTAGCATTAAGATGTCTGTCTCACAGGTCTACCAACAGTCCCACTGACTAGAGTCCAGAGTGTATATATGCTGACGTATATCATACTTTAAATAGCTAAATAAATATTAGTCGGCCACTGGAGCTTTCTCGTATTGGAACTTTTTTTTTTTTTTTTTTATTAAAGTTGGTTGTTTAGACACCTTTGCCTTCAGAAAAACCTAAACAACATGGACACGTCTAATACTACTGGAGGGGTTAACTGTGATTTATGGTTCTGAACTTTTTACTGTTGAAAGCACCTTCCATCAAGGAACAGCAGAGCTGTGTATATCTTAGCTGACCTCTGGAGTCCGGAATTGTAAGTCAAACCTAAAAGTTTAGCTCACTTGATGTGTCATCACCAATGTTATGCTACACGTTTACCAATAATGAAGGAACCTTAACAGTAGCTGTACAGAGAAAGAAATGGGTATCTGTCCAGCCCGTGTCCAATTCAGCAGGAGAGGTACAGCAATCAATCTCATTTAAACACCACTAGAGAAAATGAGATTTCTGACATTCACTTCAAAGTGAACAGAAGTGGGGCCTTTAGTGCCTTTGATTTTAAAAAGAAAGAAGATTTCCATTTGTGACATTTAACAACTCAATAACAGCAACACAACTCTGCTTTTCCCTTTTCCCCCTCTTGCTAAAGTGGTCACAGAACGCCAATAAATAATACTACCACGTGAACAGAGCCTGAAATCAATCTCAAGTGGTTCATCTGCCTCAGTAAGACTAGCACCTCGGCAAAAACTACTCTCTGCTGGAGCATACCTAAAATGGCCTATTGAAAAAAACCAAACAAACAAACCCCAAAACATCTTGCATCAATTACACAGATATCAGGAAAGTCACTTTGGTGCCATGGGAAAGGACCTCAGCAAAGAGGAGTTCTGGCACCCTCCATCCCTCCTACGTGACTTGACAGCGTCTCAGAGAGCGCTGAAGAGCTCCCAGAGCACAAGAGTTCCTGCGTCCAGAAATCTGCCCTCTCAGCCAACAAGCCCCATTTTCATACCGCTTTCACATCATCCCTGCTGCCGCCTGGTAAAATATGTACTTCTGAGCAAGAGCGGAGGGCTGGGGGGCGAAAGCGGGAAACACCTCTTGCCCAGTGGCTTGCTCCTTCCCAATTTGGAAGCTCCCCCCCCCGGCCTGAACAGCACCAAGCAAGGAGGGAGCAAGCGTCTCAGATGTCTGGTGGGAAGATCATGGAATCCTGTTGCAGCAACTTGAGCGATTCTCTTGCGGGCGGGGGGGGGGGGGCGGCTTGGGATTTCTGACACCGGCGAGGACGGGGAGCGATCAGCCTCTTACCCATTCCCCTCGCCTCTGAGCTGCTCGGGGTGGGGGGAGGGCTGACAATTTAAGATACAGATATAGCTGATATCAAGTGGGACTACAAGGGAGCTGGGGGTAGGGGAGGAGGCCTGGAAGGGGCAGGAACCCAGAGCCAGGATCTGCAGCGGCAGTGGCACGAGTCCCTGAGCTGCGTGCTCGGCGATGGGGGAAAGGAAAGCTGCTGGGTTTCAGTGGCAGCGATCCCCCCCATGCCCCAGAGACAGAAGCCGAGGGAGGAGCAGGAGGATCAGAGGGAAGAAGGGCAAGGGCTGGGAGGGGAAGGAGAAGCGGGGCGGCTAGAGCACTCACGTAGCGCTTCAACTTCTTCTCCGGCGGGGACTTTCGGAGCCAGCCCGAGCAAACCACCTCCCCGCCGCTCATGGCTCCGGCGCCTTCCCGCAGGGGAGCGAGTCCTCGTCCAGCAGCAGCAGCAACGCGGCCGAGCCGAGCCGAGCCGCGCCGCGCCGAGCCCAGGCTCCGGCCTCCTGGCGCGGGAGAAAGGGCACGGGAGTGAGGCGGGGGGCGTGTGCGCCTCGCACACAAACAAACAGCCCGAGCTGGGAGGGGGGAGAGGCGGCAGCCGGCCCGAGCCGCCAGGCGCTGCCCCCTCCCCGCCGGCTCACGCAAACATCAAGCAGGCGGAGCGCGGCCGCCGCCCCGCCCGGGCCCGGCAACTTCCAACTCCTGCGTCCCAGGCAGCGGCGCTGGGAAGGGGTGGGGAGGAGGCTTTCCCTGCCCTCCCTCTGCCGCCCGCTTGGCAAATCTCAGCGCGGCTGCAGCCGCCAGCGCCGCTCCTTCCCCTTCTTCCTCCTCCTCCTCAGACAGCGGGAGGAGGGGAGCGGGCGGCCGGGGTGTCCCCTCGCCTCCACCTCCCACCGGCGCTGGCAGGGCGGAGCGCGGCCAAATTGGCAGATCGCAGCCGGGGCTGAGCCAGCCAGAGTTCGACGGATCGAACGTTGCGCTCGCCGGAGTTCGGCGGATCGAACGCTGAGACTTCAAGGGGGCGCGGGAGTGGGGGGGGGGATCCCAGGCTCGGAGTCCCGTGCAGGGGCGGAGGGTCGCTCCTTCTTAGCCAATGCGGGAGGGACCTGCGCTGCTATGCAAATGCCCTGCCCCGCCAGCCCCCTGTCTCCTACCGGCCCACCGGCCCCGGCCGCTGTCAGTTCCCCGCACTGTCCCCACCCCTTACCCCGCTCCCTTCTTCCCCAGCGATGGCCTCTGTGGCTCGCACTCTCCGGCCAAAGCGGAGGAGTCCGAGACTTTCTCTGAAACTCAGCCGAGAGCTTTGCCAAACAAGGGCAAGGAGGGGAGGGGAAAGGGCTTGGAGAGGGATCCTGGGATCTGTAGTCCGCAGGACGGTGCGTTGTAGGGCTGCTCTACGGGCGGGCTGGCTCAGGAGAACTACAGGGCTAGGTGCAGCCCCGAAGGAAGGTGAAGTTGGAAGAGGCCTGAGAAGCAGAGAGAAACCCAGGCAAGAGAGTTTCTCTATGGAGAAGTCTCCTCCCTGAATCTTGCCAGAATGAGAGGAAAAACAACAACAGATTTTCTAGAAACATGGGGTTTAGGGCGCTTTCATTCTGGAGGCCAAGCAGCAGCGAGAAATTCAAGGTATCCAGGTTGTAGCCGGATTGGTCTAGAGGCAAAAGGAATCAGAACTCGTGGTAGCGGTGGTAGCTTTTGCTAGACCAAGCAATTTAAATTAATTTTAAAAATATATATTTAAAGATTTAAAAAAAAAATTTTTTTTGCAAAAATCTAGTTGGTCTAATAAAAGATATCACCTCTACCACAAGTTCTGATTCCTAGCAATTCAAGGAAACTCTTAGCCTCATTCTTTTGGAAAGTGCAGACTTCACAGCTAAGTGCAGGGCTGTCACACTTCTATAGTTTGAATACAAGGTATTCAAAAGTATGGGTAAGCTCTGCATGGAAACAAGACAGCAAAGTCCTTCACTGGTAGATTGGGGGTGAGAAATAAGCCAAGAAACCGGAATTGAAGTTGACACAGCAGGAATGATCCTCCTAACTGTGACGGGCTGGCTGGCAGTGACCTGGCCCAGGGGTTTTGAAAGGGCAAAAGATGATTGGAGGACTTGTGATTCCCTTTCCTTACCCATCTGGTAATGATTTGGCCCAGAGGTTTTGAAGGGGTAAAAGATGATTGGAGGACTTGGGATTCCCTTTCTGCACCAATCAGGCCCTGGAGACTCACCCCCCACCCCCATGTCCCAATTGGCCTCTTGGGTCACCTGGACACCATGGGCCAACTCAGGGGAGAGACCAGTGAGGGACAACATGGAAGGAGCTTCACAGAGCTGGCAGAAGCTGAGCCAGTGGGGCAGGAGCAGTGCCCCAGAAGAGCCTGAAAGAGCAGGACCTGCAGGCAGCAGTGAGACCCTCAGCAGTGCGGTGTGTGGCCTGCAGGAGAGGCTCCCCGCTGGGCTCCAAGATCCCCTACGAGAAGCTGCAGCCAGCAGGAGAGGCTCCCCACCCCCTGCTCCAGCAAGGATCTGAGCAGCAACCTGAGAGGTTCCCAGCTCTGCTTCCAGCTCCTCCTAATAGGGGCCAGGCAGCTTGATATGAGGCTGGGGCTCTGGGAAGGTCAAGCTCCCTAGCAGGCTGGAGGAGTGCCACCTGAGCCAGTGGGGTAGCGTTCCTGCCTCCCACATGGGAAATTTGGGTTCAAGTCCCAGCTGAGGTGACTTGGGATGAGTGAGATAACAAGAAGCTAGTCTTCTTGCAGTGGAAAGAGGCCATTGTGTTTTCTCCCCCTCCAGGTACCAAGGCCCTATATTTCCTTGTCATTTGACATTTTGCATTTTGTGCCTTTTTATATTTCACCAACCCATATTATTTGTTCTACTGTTTGTGTTTTATATTTTGTTAACCCTGTCTTTTGTCAGTGATTGTAAGTGTCTCACCTTTGTTGAATCCTGCCCCTTTGGGGCATTGTAGTGTCCACTATACCCTCTGCTTTATGCCTGTTATGTTCCCAGTATTAAAAGGTATATGGTTAAGTCCCCATTGGTGGGCTGCCTCTACTGTATAGGTGGAGGAGAGTCCCTACACCTCCCACAGCGCTTGTGCACCTGCTTTGATCCCTTCAATTTGAGAGGGGGTACCTCTTGGAGTACTGCCCGGGTTACATAACAAAAGCCAGAACTGTAAAAAGTTCAGTGACTCGCTGATAAAAATTAAGTACCAGGTTTACATCTTCCAAAGAAGTCACTGTGGCTGAGGATTGGTGTGGCTTGTGGTAAGAAAGATGTACCTAAATGTTGGCATGCAACAGTTGTGACCAAAACAAGGTGGCAGAGCATCTGAAAGATTTAAAACATCTCACTAAAATAAAACCATACAAACGCTTCATTGACAATAGCAGCTAAA